TTTAGTAATCCCCATCCCTAGGATCTTTGTAGCAGGTCCTAGGTCCTTCATGTCAAATTCAAAATTTAGCATACTGGATTTCCTCCTTGCTTCTGCTGGCTACTAACATATCATCAACATAAAGAAGCAAGTAGATACTTATTTCACCGTCTTGCCACTTCATGTACACGCAACTGTCGTAGCTGCATCTGATAAATCTGATCTTTAGCATGAGCTCATCAAATCGTTTGTACCATTGTCTGGGGCTTTGTTTCAGTCCATACAAAGCTTTTTTCAGAAAGAAAACTTTATCCTTTGTCTTAGGTGTGCAGCACCCATCTGGTTGATCCATGTAGATGGTTTCTTCAAGCTCTCCATGCAGGAACGCAGTCTTAACATCTAGCTGCTCTAATTCCAAATTGAATTGAACCGCTAGTGCTAAGACTATCCTAATGGAGCAGTGCTTCACGACGGGCGAGAAGATTTCGTTGAAGTCGATTCCTTCTACCTGAGTGAATCCCTTTGCAACGAGTCCGACTTTGTACCTGATCATGTCAATATCTGGCGTGTCTTCTTTCTTCTTAAAGATCCACTTGCAACCAACCACTCGTTTGTTCTTTGGTCGATCCACAAGTTCCCACGTTTTGTTCTTCATCAGAGAAGCCATTTCCTCATCCATTGCCTCTTCCCACCTAAGTGCCTCTTCCCACCTGAGTCTTTCCTTGCTCTTTAGGGCTTCCTTGTAGTTGCTCGGTTCTTCTTCTATCTATTCGACAACACTTAAAGCATATGAGATTATATCTGCATGGTCGTATCTATCTGGCGCTCTGATAGTTCTTCTTTGTCTGTCCCTTACCAAGATGTAGTCATCAGATCTTCTTTCTGGCTCAATCACTTGCTGCTCCTCTGCCACTTCACCTTGATTGTTCACAACAGTCCTTTGATCTGTCAAAGTTCGTTGTTGTTGCAACTCCACCTCAATTGATGAATCCTCCTTAGTGATGCTGTTTTTGACAGCATGGCTATACAGATTCGCCATTTTGGACTCATCGAATGCCACATCTCTACTGATGATGCATTTTTGTTGATCTAGGCACCAGAGTTTGTAGCCCTTGGTTCCAGGGGGGGATCCAATGAAAATGCACTTCAGAGCCCTTGCTTCCAGCTTATCCTGTCTAACATGAGCATATGCAGTACATCCAAAAACTTTGAGATTATCATAGTTACCTGGTTTCCCGTACCACATCTCCGAAGGTGTCTTCATATCGATAGCAGTTGATGGGCATCTGTTGATAAGGTAGCAGGCAGTTGACACGGCTTCACCCCAGAAACTTTTGGGTAGACCTGCATTTAGCAGCATGCATCTCACTCTCTCTAGGAGAGTCCTGTTCATCCTCTCAGCCAGACCATTCTGTTGAGGAGTGTTCCGGACTGTCTTGTGTCTTGTGATGCCATTCCTCCTGCACAGCTCCTCGAACTGCTCTGAACAGTACTCTAAGCCATTGTCAGTTCTCAAGTGCTTCATCTTGGTTTCCATCTTATTTTCTGTGACAGTTAGCCAGTCCCTGAACCTCTGAAAAGCTTCATCTTTTGATTTAAGGATGAAAACCCATACCTTCCTGGTATAGTCATCTATGATGGACATGAAGTATCTCCCTCCTCCATGAGTCTGAGTTCTGGCTGGCCCCCATAGATCGCTGTGAACATAGTCAAGGGGTTTCTTTGATGAGTGAATTCCGGTAGAGAACTTCACCCTGATGGCCTTCCCCAAAATGCATTGTTCACATAATTCGAGTTTACTGACTCGATCTCCACATAACAGACTCTGCTTGGACAGTTCTTGTAAGCCTCATTCACTTACATGCCCCAGTCTCATGTGCCATAATCTGGTCCTGTCAGGTTCTGATTGAACTGCATTTGAGAAGTTGTCGATCATGGTTCTTCCAACTAGTGAGTATAGTCCATTCTTTCTGACTCCTTTCATGATTATGAGAGAACATTTGGATACTCTGATGCAGCCATTCTCTGCCTTGAATGAGTATCCACTTGACCCCAGCGTACCTAGAGAGATCAGATTTCTTTTGAGTCCCGGGACATACCTGACGTATTGCAGTATCCTTTCAGCTCCATCGAACATCTTTATTCTGATTGTCCCGTTGTCGACTACCCTGCAAGCTTTGTTATCACCTAGTAGAACAGACCCACCGTTCTCCAGCTGCAGTGACTCGAACCAGTATTTGTGAGGACACATGTGGAAGGAGCACCCTGAGTCAAGGATCCACTCCCTGCTAGATTCAGATTCTGTGATCGCCAGAGCTTCAGCTGAATCATAGCCATCTGAGGCTACGCTTGCCTCTCCAGAATCTCTGGGCTTCTCCTGAAAACTTTTCTTTTTATCCGGACAGTTCCTTCTAAAGTGACATTCATTGTGGCAGTGGTAACACTTGTTAGATCCCTTAGAAGACTGACTTTTGCCCTTCCTTCTGGACTTTAATCTGCTCTGATCACTTTTGAAGCCTTTCTTGCTCGATCTTCCTCCAACTGTCAGACTATCTCCACTGGTTTTCTCTTTCGTGCTGTGCTTCTTCTGGAGTTCTTTAGCTCTAATAAGAGATTGAACCTCCTCTAGAGTAATAGTCTGCGCCCTTCCATAGAGCATCGCATTCTTGAAATGCTCGTAGCTCTTGGGAATAGAGTTTAGCAACAGTAGTGCCTTGTCTTCATCGTCCATCTTGACGTCGATGTTCTCGAGATCGTCGATGATTTTGTTGAACTCGTCAATCTGCTCTGAGACGGATTTGTCTTCATGCATTTTGAAGGAGTATAGGCGCTGCTTCAGAAAGAGTCTATTAGCCAGAGAATTTGTCAGGTAGAGTACCTCTAGTTTGGCCCAAAGCGCTTGAGCCGTTGTCTCCCTCGCCACCTCCCTCAAAACTTTGTCGCCCAATTGTCCAGTATGTCGATCTTCTCCTTCTCGGTCATGTCAGCCGGCAATGCCGCCGACCCTTGCAAGGCTTCTGCAACACCTTGCTGAACCAATAGAGCTCTCATTTTTACTCTCCATAGACCGAAATCATTATTACCGTTGAATTTCTCGATGTCGAATTTGGTGGAACCCATTATTGTGGCTTGATCCCCAATAACGTGTGAAGTCTGCTTTGTTGAGCACCTACTGAATTCCGAGAGCTGTCGCGACGTGCTTCTGTCGCAGCGTGTGCTAGCTGTCGCGGAAATCCTCCTCCTTCGCGAGATCTGCCCCTTCGCGGACCGAACTACCTGTCTTCATCTGCTCCTTCGCGGACAGTTCCTCCTCTCTCGCCAAACCGCACAACCTGTGGTGCTAATCCAGTTGATCAATGCTTCCACTGCTCACCGAATCTATCGCGATTCGGCTACCTGCGACACGATCCGCTTGCTCCTCTGTTCGTGAATGTCGAACTCCTCTTCTTCGTCGTTGGCCGCGAACACCTTTACACGGACACCTCTAGCCAAGAAGTATGGATCTTCCCACAGACGGCGCCAATTGTTGTGAGATATGTACTTCCTAGTATAGAAATGAGACGAAAAAGAACACAAGCAAACACAGATCGTTTACGCGGTTAGATCCAACTGGATCTACGTCCACGGGAGGAAATCAATCAAATATTTCACTAAGGCAAAAGAAATAGAGAATACATAGCTTATACATAGAGATGAGCCATCATCTTCCTTCTATGGCCTCTTTCTCAAGCGACACCTTGATACAAGGCCTCAAGATGCTCTTCTCCTCTCTAACTCTATAGTTATTCTCTCCTCCTTTGTGGTAGCTTAAGATATATTTTCCCTTGCTCTCCTAAGTCTCACACCCTCTCTATTTATAGAAGCAAGAGAGTGGTAGGTGGGAGGTAGGTGGGAGGTAGGTGGCCAGTAGATGAGCGGTAGGTGAGATGTGGTAGGTGGCGGTGCCACATTACAAAATTGCCCTTTTACCTTAGTTCATTAATTGAGGGTCAAAATAACATTAAAAAATAAAAGAGTTAAATGAATATCTAAATGCAAGATGTGCCTTAAATGGCCGATTAAGAATTAATTGAATATCTAGCAAAAACTATACAAAAAATTCTTTGGACATTCCTCAATTAGCCCCCACATCACTGGTGCTACACCATCAATATTTGTTACTTGTACAAATCACTAATGGTGACTCCTTATGCACTTCAAATCACTCAATGGTAAGTATGCTAAGCATATCTTAAACTACTAAATTAATCTAAAAGATTTCATGTAATTTCCCATCATAAAAATTAATAGCCAGAACCTTGAAGTGGATGGTAGTTTAATTATAAGCTTTATGTCATTGGGTTGGCTTATGATATTTTCTAAAATCATAATGTTAAGGGAACGTCCACATTGATGATCTTATGCACCACTATTATTGAAAGAGATTTTAATAAAATTATCCTTACTTTGAAACTTCCTTATGTTAAAGAAAATCTTGAAGGAATTTTAATGGGATATCAGACCAGCAACATGTCTGCACCTATAGAGCCCCTACTTGGACTCTTCACCATTGGACGAGGTTGTAATCTCCAACTCAAAAGGCTAAGGTTGGTTCAAGTTGGATTATATCTTAATGATCTCAAGCAACAGTCGAAACACTAGATGGAATTATTATAAAACAAGATTAAACTCTAACCAAGTGGGAATAATATTTAGTCAGACCAAACCCAACAAGTCTCCCCCCAAAGACTTTTCCATGTATAAAAGCTTGTTCAGCTCTCCTTTACTTTTTATGTGTATAATGTCAACTAAGATGGTTGAGGCTTTTTCTCTCTATCATCATGACTTCTTGCACAACAAAGAAGTCTCATTTTCTTTTTTTTTTTCTTACACCTAATTCAAGACCAGAAAAAGAAAAAAATTTCATAGACCACACCATCATCAATGGTCCTGCACACTTTTTTCCAAATTATGTTACACATTTTAAACGAACTCAAGAAAGAAACAATTTTTTATTATGTTTTCACAGTGAATAAGAAATGTTTTAATGCATATCCCAAAAAAAAAAATCAATCTCACCTAAGTAAATAAACTTTCCTATTCCATTTTGTCACCTTATAGTGACATCTAAAGTCAAATAATACAAGAAAGCAATTAGACTAATGATGAAGCCCGGAGGCCTTGCCACAAAGCAAAGCATTTGAAGGGATATCATACTCATTGGAATAACTCTTCTCTTCAGTCCAGACTCTAATGTAGAGCTGTTGCCCCAAGTACTGCCTTCCCCACATCGCAGACCTCAGATTCCACATCCCCTGGTTATCCAGGGATGCTAAGATTGCCGTCCATCCATTCGGATACACCTTAATAAATACATTTTATGCAGCATTAATCAATAGAGCCGGACAAAAATGTACTTTACATAATTAGAAATAGGTACAATTTGGGGAGGATAATGGATATTTGACGTCTAATTTTACCTGAACTGTGTGTCTAGAGACCGCATCAACAAGATTGTAGCTGTTGCGATTCTGTTCCACCCATTGTCCATTTCCATATCTGAAAAAATGCAATGAAAGGTTTCAGATTAATGATTTTTACAAATAAAGACATTATTGCATCCTTTGTTAAGTTCAGAAGGTTTTAAGATATCTCACACAATATAACCTCTGTTTACATGAAAATGAATTATCAAAGGGCTAACTTACCCAACAACCCAGAAGGAATAGCCATCAAGATGCCAAGACTGCATGGTGTTCTCAGTGTTTTGGAAAATGATCTCAATGAATTCATGCAGATTAGTCCTCAGAACTGGTGTTCCAAGGGCAGCAGGGTCATTTGTAGCCTCAGTTGGGATGCTATCCCAAGTGAAGACACCAGGAATGTTAAAGTTGTCAGCAAGCTTCAATGGAGTATCAGGGACGACGAAGGAGACACCATTGACAGCATAGCGAAGCTTGCCATTGATCACAGGTGCGGAGCTTGCAAATTTCAGTGATCGGGATCTCGTTATGCTGCCATACTTGTAAGAACCCTGAGGATTAGGCCTTGCAGCATTTGCAGTCAGATTCCATCTGCAAACAATTAAACCCATGCATAAAATGTGTATTTAACTTTTAAGAAGTGATAATAGTGCTATTTTTTATGTGATATTAAAGATTTGAGTGATATCTGTGAAAATAAGAAAAGCCAAGTAAGAGATGTGTAAATACATAAAAATTGTGTGCTATGCATGCAAATGCACCAATTATAAAATGAGCAAATTTTCAAAATAATCCCCTTAACTGATTAAGTTGGGTAATTTCAGTCATAGAATCTATAAAAAATACCAAATTAATCCCCAAATTCTGTTAATAAGGGCTGAAATGGTCCCCCTAAACCTTATTAAAAGAGTCTGTACACTAATTTGACACTTTTATAGGCTCTAAAACTAAAATGTTTATAAATAGTCAAGGCCATTTTGACACTTTTGTCACTTTAAAAGTTATTTCATCTTTTTCAGACCAAATTTATGCTACAACACTCCGCGCACTGGGAAACCAAACATGCTTGAGAGCAAGCAAAAGAGCTTTCACCTGAAGGTTCTAGCTTGGAGCATGGACCAGTTGTAATCATTAGCAGGAGGAGCAGGGATTGCTCCAGAAACTGGAGACCTGGAGTTGCTGTAGTGCAATACAGCGGTGGCAGTGAGGACTGTACTGGTGAAACGGGAGGTGGCTACTATATAGTAGTCTTTTGGTGTCTGGTCAAGTGTCACAAGAACAGCTATGGACTGCCCAACATGGACGTCAAGCGAGTCATAGGTGTTCTGAATCGTATGGGACCCTTCAATTTCAACTACCTTCATCTTGTGGCTCTGAATTCTGAAGTTGAATGAAAGAGAGAGGCCCACGTTGGAGATCCTCAATAGGTATGTCTTCCCTGGAGAATAAGAACAGTGAAATTTCGAGTGGTTATGTGGTTAAAGATTGTTGGAGATACATTATAGTATGATTTGCAGTTTAATCTCGAGGTTACTGAAACAAGAAGGTTGTTTGGTGCCTAACAAATTGATTTCAATCCAGCCTAAATCCTGTAATTTTCTGCTCTGCCAGTATTACTTGTATGCAGAATGTTTACAGAATTCAATTCGGATTACATATTTGAATAACAAAAAATAATTTTCGAGCTATAACTCTGCCAAAATTTGAATTTTTTTAATTTACAAGATTCGCCAAAAGTAAATTTACTAAATTCAACTTCATACAAAACAGCAGCTAAATTACTGTGGGATTGGTGTAACGTTATAATTTGCATAGATTGTACCGAAATATATATGCCTGGAATCGTATAAAATAACACACAATGTGTGAGCATAGCAGCCCTAAATCAAAACGGGCTTAGAGACACAGACTGCTTGACAAGTATGATGAAGTACCTGGATCTCCAGTGAAGGAATATGATTGTGGGACGCCATTGATGAGAAGTCCATCAGGAAAAGAAAGAGGTTTCCCTGAATCCAAACTCTGCCTCAACGACTAATCAAACCAAAAGGAAACCAAATATCAGTCAATTGTTCGATCAATCTCCGAAAGATGCGGTTCTATAGCCAAATGGGAATAATACCTTGTGGCCAGCTTTGTACCAATCGCCGATAAGCAGCGACATCTCGCCAAAGGGAAGGTCGTAAGGCACCGAGATGACGGACCGCTGCCTCACATAGAGAGGACCGAAGCCACCGGAGGCGCGGTGCATTGCAGTAGATGGGAAGTAAGTGAAGGTGCCAATCTGATCCTTGCTCTGAAACTTGTAGGTGTAGTTTCCCTTCGGAGGGATAGGGCAATTAGTCCCCAAAACCCCATCCTGCCATGAGTTCTTCCTCTGCTTGATCCCGTTCCTTCATTTCCTCAAAATCCACTTTCAGTCAGTCAATTGTTCATACAGCCTCTAACAAGTTTGCAAATCATCAGATCTGAAGAGAATGAAAGCTCACCAGGTCAAGAGGAAGGGCTCGTCGAGCTGGTTGATGACATTGACAATGATGTTGTCGTTGGTGATGCAATCGAGAGAAGGGCCGGGGAACTGACCATTGATGAGGATGACCTTTCAAACAAACAAGAGCAACGAATCAGCAAGTTTGGCTACTATCTATAGAGTTTTGGGGCTTGATTGATCTGAGAAGAAGAATGTGAGAGTAAGAACCTGCTGTGGAGCTCCAAGAGGGGATGCGGTGCCGTAGGTGACGGTCCAGGTGAAGTATCGGTACGGATCGTCGGCGAAGACCGCCGGGCAGAGAAGAGCAACGGCTGTGCAGAAGAGGCGGAGGTAGAGCGATGCTGTTCTTCCCATTGCTGCTGAGAAGAGATGGTAGAGAAGGAGAAAGTATTGTGAAAGTGACGGAGAGGAAGCAGGGTTTAAGTAGGAGGAAGGAAAGCGAAGGGAATGTGTGGATTCGTCTGACCTTCCACTGCCAGCTCTGGCAGCAATCATCTCCGCTCCACGCGGTTACGCGCTTCCCGCTTAAACTTAGCTTTTTATTTTCTTAATTTCTTATTTTTTTTTTTTTAATTTAGTTTTCTTTTAAGAAAAATAATATACGACTCCACCAAATTTTTTATATTTACATAAATAATACCTAAATTTTCATATTTATATTTATAATTCTTTAGTGTATAAACTTATGCAAGAACTAATATATTTATTTTTGAAAAAAAGTTAATAATTATGATATTCTTAAGTGGTATTAAAGGTTTGAGTTCTATGTATGTAAATATAAAATTTAAAATATTAGATATGCAAATATGTGAGAATTGTGTGGTGTATAAGTAAATGCCTCAATTTAAATTAAATATATTATAAAATATTTTGATTTTCTTATTTTTTTACTTCTCTTAAATTAATTGTATGGAGTGTAACCCATAATCGATTCATTATTCAATGTTGGCGACTATAAATAAAAATCATATCTATTGAACGCAAGCTACGGAACTCGATGCAAATTTCATATATTTTAAACCCTTGCTATTTTTAAAAGATATTTCAATATAAAAACTATATGTGCGTTGAATTCAAAATCATCTATGAAACACACCCAAAAAAATGTGAATTAAAGAGATGGAGTAAGAGTGTGTGTTGAACACTAAAAACAGTTTGTTGCTCTATTTATTGGAGAAGAATCATAATAAATTGAAAATTATACCACGAGCCCTATGCAGTCAATCGAAGATGGTTGAACAAAGTCGATATGTCCAAAAGAAACTAGCCGGACCGATTGGAGCCAAATTGAGCTGGTGGCTGGGCTGAACGGAGCTGGTCAGTTCTGTTGGAGTTGGTCGGGTTGAATGGAGCTAGCGGTCGGGTTGAATGGAGCTAGCGTCATGGCCGAACGGAGCTGGTCAGACCAAACGGAGATGGTGGTCGGACTGACTTGAGATGGTGGCCAAGTCGAACAGTGTTGGCAGGGAAGAATGGAGCTGGAGGTTGGGTCGAATTGAGCTAACGCTGACCAGTGGAGCTGGTCAAATGTTTGGACTGAGGAACTGATCGAGCCATTAGCTCATACAAAATTAATTACAAAAAATCATGGACTAAGGAATAAAGACATCCAACATAAAGAACCACCGAAGCGATAGAAGATCTCAAACATAACTGGAAAGGTCTTCCAATTGGAACAATAAAGATAGAACCTTTCACTATAACTACCTTTTGCCCGACAATATTATTTAATTGATTGTAATCGGTGATTATAGATTATATCATGATCATTATTCTAATTGAAGAAAGTCGTGGGCATCCTTAGATCAGCCTCTCATTAGATTATCCTAAAATAGTTTTAGGTTTTGATATATTACCCAATCATGGTAATCTAATGTAGTGTCTACTGTCTAATTTAGCGTACCCAGATGAGTTGGTTGGCATTCACGGTATAAGTCCCCTCAGGTTAGGGAATTGAATCCCCTCTGGCATGACTAGACGCTCATATATATATATATAATTAATTAAAAAGAATAAAAGCATTGAGCAGAAGAGAAATTCAATTATTATTTTATTGTTGTTAATATCAGGACATTTGCATACATACCACACAACTTTAATATATTTATATATCTAACACCTAAACATTTATATTTACATGCATATCAATAAAAACATCACAATCATTATCTTTTTTTTAACAATGAAGTACAACTTCTCCTACAGATGTTTACGATATCAATGTGTCATAAGTGTAAATACAAAATTTTGGGTGTTAGATATATAAATACACAATACTTGTGTGGCATTAATGCATTTAAACTCTCTTAAAATTTTTAAAATCTCTTTTAACGTACTTTAGAATATGGTTTCAATGAAAATATATGGAATATTCATCTGCTTTCCCGATGCTTAAAATATGGTTATGGAATTGCCAACAAAGTCCTAAAGAAAGTTGTTAAAATTTAATTAGTAATTAAAATATAATTACGCCTGACATTGTGCAGCAAAACTCGCTATAAATTAAATCAACTTGAACAAGATTTAAGTACGAGTACTCACTAATTTTGATTTAATCATTCATATCAGCCTATAGATTATTAATAGTTAGGAAAATTTGTTATATATTACACAAGACTTATATATTTACAAATCTAACACCTAAATTTTAATATTTACATGCATAGCAACCATAGTGCATTTTCTTAATGAAAAAAAAGCTGTATAAATTATAATCATCATGCAGACGGCCCTCCCCAATCCCCATCTGTTCTAACGTGAAAGTAACTAATTTATCATTAATGCTTTCGGTCACGCGGGTTGCCAGTTGCCACCGTTTATTTTATTTATATATTACTAATAATCAAATCCAAACTCCATGCTACAAATTAAAATATTAAATGAAGACATGGTTGTAGGATGGTTGCACTATTCATTTAATAGAGTCAAGAGCGCCATTACCGCCGCCTGTATATCACGTGCATGGGTGCACGACTTTTAAAGTTCCCTATATATATATATATATAA